AAAAATCCCAAAAAAAACCCCAAAAACCCCATAAAAAAACATCCCAAAAAAACCCCAAAAACCCATAAGAAACCCCAAAGAATTTGAAAAAAAATCCCCAAAAGAAACCCCAAAAAAACCCCAAAAACCCAAAAAACCCCACAAAAACAACTCATAAGAAACCCCAAAGAATTCGAAAAAAATTGCCCAAAACATCCCAAAAAAATCCCAAAAACCCATAAAAAACCCCAAAGAATTCGAAAAAAAATCACAAAAAAAACCCCCAAAAACCCAAAGAAACCTCACAAAAACAACTCATAAAAAACCCCAAAGAATTATAAAAAAGCACCCAAAGCATCCCAAAAACAAACCCAAAAACCCATAAGAAACCCCAAAGAATTAGAAAAAAAATCCCCAAAAAAACCCCAAAAAAACCCCCAAAAACCCCATTAAAAACCCCAAAAGAATTTTTAAATCCCCACCGGTCACGGGATCTTTTCCTCTCCGGAGCCGGAGTTTCCCACGCGGATCCTGGGCAGTTGGGTGGCCCCTGGGACTTCCCATTCCCTGATTCCTGACCCTGGTCCCCCCCAATCCACCAAAAACCCTCAGAGCCTGCGGTTGGGACTCCGATCTTCCAAAATTTTCATGGAATTCTGGAATCGTCGAGGTTGGAAAACACCTTGGGCTCCCTGCCGTGTGCCACGCCCGCACGGATTTAAATCCCTGCAGGAATTATCCCGGCACATTCCAGGGCTCCCGCCTCCCCTTTTCCCAAATTTTGGTGAGTGCAGGGATGGCCAAGCCCTTTGGGAATGCCTGGAATTCCCGCCCGGCCCTTGCACAACCTTTTTCCGTGAGGGAATTGTTCCTAATTCCAGCCTGAACTTTCCCCGGCAAAATTCGCGGCTGTTTCGTCAATAACAACAAAATCCCAAATATCCCAAAGTTTTTCCCCAGGGAATGTTTTCCCCTGCGGTTTTCCGTCCTTCCCGCGGGATCTGAGCCTCCCCAATCCCTCGGATCCCTCCCAGGGCGTGCCGGGGCCAAACTGGGATGAGCAGAGGGAACCCAACCTCGTCCTGTGCCAGGAGGAGAATCCCAGCCGGAATTCCGGGACAGGGATCGGGAAGATGCCTGGAAGAAGCTGATTCCAGCTTGGACAGGGCTCGGAGGGACGGGGGAGGAGTCGGGGTTGGAATGGGGTGGGATTGGAGGTCCCTTCCCACCCAAACCTCTCTGGGATTCTCTGGAGCTGCCGGGACGGATCCAGGCTGGAATTCTGTCCCAGCAGATAAATGATTTGGGAATGCGTCTCCAAGGGAAAAAAAATGGGATTCAGGGAATGCTTGGAGCCGCTTCCCGATCCCAGAGGGGCTCCAGGAGAGCTGGAATGTGGGAAAGGGCTGGAGGGCCAGGAGCCAGGGAATGGCTTCCAGTGGGAAAGGGGAGCTTGGGATGGTGGGATCTTGGGAAGGAATTCCCGGCTGGGCTGGAATTCCCAGAGAATCGCCAGGAGTGTCCAAGGAAAGGCCTGGGGTTGTGGGGTTAGAATGGGATGAAGGTCTGGGCTGGAATTCCCAGAGAATCCCTGGGATCCCTGTGACTATCCAAGGAAAGGTTGGATGGGCTTGGAGCACCCCAGGATGGTGGGAAGTGTCCCTGCCCAGGTGGAACGGGATGAGCTTCACGGTTCCTCCCCACCCAAACCATTCCAGGACCCCCCAGCCCTTCTCCAGCCCCCGACCTCCTTCCGCAGCCTCGGATTCCAGGAGGGGCTGACGGGCGGAACCTTCCGGGCTGGGAATTTTCCCTCCCCAGCCACCGAGGAACCGGGAATGTTCTCGGGAGGATCCCAGGGCTCCTCCTGACCGCTCTCCTGCCCCGCAGTGTCCCGGCCCCGGGCGTCCCCCGAGGAGCTGAAGGCGCTGCTGGCCAACGTCCAGCGGCTCAACGAGACCCTCCGCGACCTGCAGCTGCACCCGCTGCCCCCGCCGCCCGGCGGCGACCTCCTGGAGCACGTCTGGAGGCTGCAGGACCTGCTGCAGAACCACTCGGACTCGCTGCTGCTGCTGTCGGGCTCGCTGCAGCGGCTGCAGGGGCTCCTGCGGGGCCTGCAGGGCCAGGCCGGCCAGGCGGAGCGCTCGCTGGCGCGGCTGCGGGACTCGCTGGGCCGGCAGAGCGACGCGGCCCAGATGGAGCTGTCGCGGCTCTCGGTGGAGGCCAACAGCAGCCGGCTGCTCCTGGAGCACCACCAGCACCTCCTGGGCCACCTGGGCGGGCGGCTGGAGGCCCTGGGCGAGCAGGTGTGTTGCGGGGCGTTTTGGGGTGGGGGCACCCCGGAGGGTCCCCTAGGCTGGGAGTTGGCTGGCAGCAGCGGGCAGGCAAGGAGACTCCACACGGCTTTGGGGGTGCTGATCAGATGGAGGTTTATTTGGGGTTCCACCCCCGGGAACAGCATGGCTACCGAGGGAAAAGGGGGGAAGGGGGAAGGAGGGGGAGCCTCGGGGAGGGAAGGGGCAAGAGGAGGGGAAGAGGCTGAGAGAGAGGAAGGGCTAAGAACCCAACTGATTTTATAGCACAGCTTAAGAGGGGAACTGAAGTGGGCGCGGAATCACACTGGGCCAACGGGATGACAGGTACGGGATGGTTCAGGGCAGGAGCGCAGGCTTAGAATACACCGTACATTTCGGAGGGGTGAGACAGGGCATGCCGTTTAAATAAAACGGAATGCAACACAGGTGGCCGTTCTCGGCGGGGCCGTGGATTCCGTGAACCGCAGCTTCTCCTACGACGTCCGCGTGCAGCGCTCCCGGCTCCGGGACCTGCAGGGGCTCCTGGGCAACGCCAGCGCGGACGGGCGGAGGATGCGGGCGGCGCACGCGGCCATGGAGCGGCAGCTGAGGCTGGAGCTGGCCCTGCTCAACAACGTCACCGAGGAGCTGCGCCTGAAGGACTGGGAGCATTCCGTGGCGCTCCGGAACATCTCCGTCATCCGGGGTGAGCGGTGGGATCGGGAGCGGTCCCCGCGCTCCTCTGGGGGGTCAGCCCGTCAGGGATTGGAGAATCCCTGGGTTCTCCAGTTGGAGGACGACTCCGGTGGAGTTGTTGAGGTTGGAAAAGCTCTCCACGGTCATGGAGTCCAGCTGGCTGCCACCACTGATCCGTGTCCCCCCAAATCCATGTGGACTTTAATCCCAACAGGGATGGGGACTCCAAACCGCCCTGGGCCTGTTCCAATCCTTCACAGCCCTTTCCATGAAGGAATTGTTCCCAATATCCAGCTAAACGTTCCCTGGCACAGCCTGAGGCCGTTTCCTCATCCTGTTTCTTGTTTCCTGGGAGCAGATCCCGACTCTCACCCGGCTCCAACTGTTCATGGAGTTGTGGAGAGGGGAAAGGTCCCCCCTGAGCCTCCTTTTCTCCAGGCTGAGCCCCTTCCCAGCTCCCCCAGTCTCTGCTGGGGCTCCATTCCCTTCCCAGCTCCCTCAGCCTCTCCTGGGGCTCCATTCCCTTCCCAGCTCCCTCAGCCTCTCCTGGGGCTCCATTCCCTTCCCGGCTCCGTTCCCCGCCCTGGACACGCTCCAGCCCCTCCGGGTCTCTCCGGTTGGGAAGTTCCCGGATCCGCCCCCATCCATCCCCGCTCAGGTGTCTCCACCACCTTGGGCTCTCCGAACATTCCCCATCCATGGTTTGGAAGGAAGCTCCCAAGGTTCCCTCAAAGATCCCAGGAAATCCCAACCTCCCCTATCCCATCTTCTCCTCCTTTCCCACCCTCAGCCCTTCCCAAATCCCAGAATTATTTGGGCGGGAAGGGCTCTTAAATCCCGTCCCGTTCCAACTCCAACACCTTCCCCTGTCCCAGGCTGCTCCAAGCCCTGGCCTTGGACACTTCCAGGGATCCAGGGGCAGCCGCAGCTGCTCTGGGAATGCTGTGCCAGGGAGGGGGAGCCCAGGAGATCCCAGTGGGAGCTCCGGGCCGGAGCAGGACGTTGGGAGCAGCTCCTGTGCCCTTTTCCACCTGCTGCGCCTGCGGAGAGCCCGCGGGCTGGTGCTCATTCCCGGTGCTTCCAGATGGAATTCCAGCTGGAATTCCAAGGCCAGGGCTGGTGCCAAGGCACTTGTTCCCCTTTTCCAGCTGCTGGGCCGGAGGGGATGGACGTGGTTGATCCCCAGGAGATCCATCCCCCTGGAATACCAACAGCTCCTGGGGTGCTTCCCCTCATCCCTGGAGTTCATAGGCTCCCAATCCCTGTTTTTGGGATGCTGGGATCACCCTGCCCCCACTGCTTTGGTATTTCCCTATTTCCCCACTCCTCAGATCCCACTTTTCCCTCCCCATCCATGGGGATGACGTCACCTGCTCTGGGATGAAGCCACCAAGGGTGGGACCCGTCACGGAGCCCTGGAACCGCGTTATCCCAAAACAAACCCCTTCCCAAGGGCCGGCAGCGGATTTATCAGCCCTGACACATTCCTGGCATCCCAAACTTCCCTCCCCTCCCATCCCATGGATAATTCCTGGGGCCTCGTGCCCAGCTGGATTCGTCCCAGCTCCAGATGTCCTTGGGTGAGTCCGTTTTGTTCCCGGCTGGATTTGGCCAAGCCATTCCCTGCCTGCCTGGGGGGGCCCTCTTCCCTCTCCCCAAATCCTCGCCCATCCCAAGCTCCGGATCCTGGATCCTGGAATTGGGCGGGGGCAGATTGGGAAGATCCCAAGGCTCCTCTCCAGCACCCCAGGATTGCTCCCAGCGCCTCCCGTGGCTCGGGAAGGACAACACGGAGGAGTTTTGGGTCTTGGGAGAATTCCCGGGATCCGCTCGGTGGATTCCAGGGTGGGATGAGCAGGTCCCCAAGGTGACAGGAAGGTCCCATCCCTCAGGAAACGCCTCGTCCCGCTGGGATTGGAGGGTGGGAAGCAGGAATGGGATTTCCCGGGTGCGACCCTCGGGAGCTGTGGGGTGGGAGGAGCTGGGAATGCTCCGGAGCCTCTCCCAGCCGCCATTCCCGGTTTTCCTCCAGCCCAGCAGCTCCGTGTCCTGTCCCAAGAGCTGCTCCTGGCATGGGACCGTCCCTGGGAGCATTCCAGAAAAATCTGTGGCTGCCCCATCCCTGGAAGTGCCCATCCCAAGGTCCAGGGTCCATCCCAAGGGTTTGGGATCCTTTCTAAGGTCTGGGATCCATCCCAAGGATCTGGGGTCCATCCCTGGGATCTGGGGTCCATTCCCAGGATCCGGAGTCCTTTCCCAGGAACTGGGGTCCATCCCTGGGATCCGGAATCCATCCTTGGGGTCTGGGGTCCAGTCCCAGGATCCGGAGTCCATTCCCAGGAACTGGGGTCCATCCCTGGGATCTGGGGTCCATTCCCAGGATCCGGAGTCCATTCCCAGGAACTGGGGTCCATCCCTGGGATCCGGAATCCATCCTTGGGGTCTGGGGTCCTTTCCCAGGATCCAGAGTCCATTCCCAGGATCTGGAACCATCTCCAGGATCTGGGGTCCATTCCCGGGATCTGGGGTCCATCCCAAGGGTCTGGGGTCCATCCCTGGGATCCGGATTCCATCCCTGGGATCTGGGGTCCATTCCCAGGATCCAGAGTCCATTCCCAGGAACTGGGGTCCATCTCTGGGATCCGGAATCCATCCTTGGGGTCTGGGGTCCATTCCCAGGATCTGGAACCATCTCCAGGATCTGGGGTCCATTCCCAGGATCTGGGGTCCATCCTAAGGGTCTGGGGTCCATCCCTGGGATCCGGATTCCATCCCTGGGATCCGGAGCCCATTCCCGGGATCCGGAGTCCATCCCTCCATCCCCTCAGCCCCCCGAGCTGTTCATTCCCTGGGGAAGAGACAGCCAGGGCCAGTAATTCCATATTTCCCATCATCCTTTCCTATCCCAAAACGTTTCCCAGCCTTGACGTGGTTCAGGATCCCGCTCTGGATCCCACTCTGGATCCATCTCCAGATCCCACGGATTCCTACAGAGCATTCCCAGATCCCCATTCCTGATCCATTAAAACACATCCCTGCTCTTCCTGCCCCGTTTTCCAGCGCCCGGAGCTCTGCCTGGGTCTCAGCTTCCCGAGTTCCCGGCTTTCAGGATTTCTCGGAAAACATTTCCCAGTCCTCGCCCTGGATGGGTGGGAATGACCCTTCCCGGCCTCTCCCTGCCCTGGTTTCTCTCATCCCAGGAATATTTTTTTTCTTCCCCGCTATTTTTCTCTTCAAATTCCTTCTTCCCATTGTTTTGGCTCCCGATTGTTTTCAGCTTTTGGGATTTGAGCCTTTGCAGGATGAGGGATAAAACCCGGGATTGGGATTTTCTGCAAGTTCCTGGGATTTTACCAAAATCCCGCTGTCAATCCTCTCCTCAAGGATTGTCTCCAGAATTCCCAGAGGATCATCCCAGCTGGACAAATGGAAAGTGGTCCTGCCCCTGGATGATCCTTAACATCCTTTCCAACCCCCAAAATTCCAGGATTCTATGAATATTCCCAAAATGTGTATTTTCCCTGATTTCTTGCAATGATTTCACTGGGAATGTCCCAGCTTTTGGTCCAAAGGAAAATTCCCGAGTCGCGCTCAAGGTGGAGCTTCCAGGTGAATTTTCCCATCACTTGGAGCAGGTTGGTGGAATCCAGTTTGGAATTTAGGATCCACAAATCCCGGAAGTTTAAAATCATGGAAAACGGCTTTGTCCCGGCTTTGTTCCCACATTTCTCAGCGATCCCGGATCTCCTGCTGCGCATTCCCGACTCCGGGATGTGATTCCCGCCCTCCCCTTGTGTTCCAGGGCCACCGGGACCCAAAGGAGACCGAGGCACGGAAGGGATGGAGGGAGAGCCCGGCCTTCCCGGCCTTCCCGGGCTCCGAGGTAAGGAAAACATTCCCAAAATCCCCCCAGATCCCATCCTGAAATAACCCGGCTGATCCAAACCCAACGGGACAACTCCCGGTGATTCCCGACCCATCCCTTGGGACGTCCCAGCTCCTGAGGGACACGAGGATGGATCTGCTCTCCCGGATCCTGGAGCATCCATCCTGGAGGGAAAAACGTCATCGCCCACCCGGCTCCAGGAAATCCATGCTGACATTCCCAGATTTCCAGGGTGTCCCAGCCAGGCTGGAGCGGGAATTGGCCACCCCATTCCCAAACGGAGCCTTCCAAGGCACCAGGGCTGGAATTGCTGCTGGATCCCTCTGGCAGATCCCGGGAACCCGGCAGAGGGGCCTTGGCTCTGAGATTTTTCCAGAATTTTCTTTTTCCAACGTCAGCAATGCCAATTTTCCCCACCCCCCTTCTTAATTCCATTGTTTTTGGGAGGAACTTCATTGGAAGCCACCAGAGGACATTCCCACCCTGAGGAAGACTTGGCTCCAGCTGTTTCTGGTTTGAAGGAAACCTGGGAATGCTGCTCTGCTTCCAAGGGCTGGGAATGGTGGAGGTGGGGCAGGATCCCCCCGGGGACAACTTTGTCCTGTGGAGGTGACGGGATCCATCCCACTGGGATCCCGCAGGATGGAGCTCCAGGACCAGGACCAGGTTTGGATTCACATCCAGGTCCAGTTCCAGGAGCAGACCCAGATCCAGACCGAGATCCAGACCCAGATCCGGATCCAGACCCGGATCCGGACCCAGATCCAGACCCAGATCCAGACCCAGATCCGGACCCAGACCCAGATCCAGACCCAGATCCAAACCCAGACCCAGATGTGGATCCAGATCCAGACCCAGACCCAGATCCAGATCCAGACCCAGACCCAGTCCCAGACCCAGATCCAGACCCAGACCCAGACCCAGGCCCAGACCCAGACCCAGACCCAGGCCCAGACCCAGACCCAGATCCAGACCCAGACCCAGGCCCAGACCCAGACCCAGACCCAGATCCAGGCCCAGGCCCAGGCCCAGACCCAGACCCAGATGTGGATCCAGATCCGGATCCAGATCCAGGTTTGGACTCATACCCAGGTTAAAGTCTGGGTCCAGGTTCAGCTCCAGGTCTAAGTCCAGGTTCAGGTCCAAGTCCAGGCCCAGATGTCAATCCTGATCCGTGTCCAGTTCAATGTCCAAGACCTGGTCAAGGTCCAGGACCAGCTCCAGGACCGGATTCAGGTCCAGATTCAGATCTGGATCCACATCCACATTCAAGACCAGGTCCAGATCCAGGACCAGGATCAGGATCAGTTTCAGGACCAGGTCTGGATTCAGGTCCAGGTGAAGGTCCAGATCCTGATCCAAGTCCAGATTCAGATTTGGATCTGGATCCAGGTCTAGGTCCATATCCAGAACAAAGTCCAGGACCAGGTCCAGACCAGTCCCTGTTATCCCCTGCTCCAAACCCACCCCACAGGACTCTGGATGTCAGAGGCAGGTCCAGACCCAGACCCAGACCCAGACCCAGATCCAGACCCAGAGCCAGACCCAGACCCAGACCCAGATCCAGACCCAGACCCAGACCCAGACCCAGATCCAGACCCAGACCCAGACCCAGACCCAGATCCAGATCCAGACCCAGACCCAGATCCAGATCCAGACCCAGACTGAGATCCAGCTCCATGCCTGGAATCCTCTGCTCCAAGGATTCTGAGACACCGGACCTTGCTGGGACTGTCTTGGGCTCAAACCCTGGGATTTTGGGATCGCTCCTTCCCAGGCCCAGCCCAGCGAGGCAGAGCCAGCCTGGAAATCCGATCTCCCTCGGCCAGCCCCTCCAGCTGCCCGTGTTCCTTCTCCCTCCAGCTGGAATTTCTGGCACCCAGACCCAGACCCAGACCCAGATCCAAATCCAAACCCAGACCCAGATCCAGATACAGATCCAGACCCAGATCCAGACCCAGACCCAGATCCAGACCCAGATCCAGGCCCAGACCCAGACCCAGACCCAGATCCAAATCCAAACCCAGACCCAGATCCAGATACAGATCCAGACTGAGATCCAGACCCAGACCCAGATCCAGACCCAGACCCAGACCCAGACCCAGACTCAGACCCAGGTCCAGACCCAGACCCAGGTCCAGACCCAGGCCCAGGTCCAGACCCAGACCCAGATCCAGACCCAGATCCAGATCCAGACCGAGACCCAGATCCAGATCCAGACCGAGACCCAGATCCAGACCGAGACCCAGACCCAGACCCAGACCCAGATCCACATCCAGACCCAGATCCAGACCCAGACCCAGATCCAGACTCAGATCCAGCTCCAGCTCCAGCTCCATGCCTGGAATCCTCTGCTCCAAGGATTCTGAGACACCGGACCTTGCTGGGACTGTCTTGGGCTCAAACCCTGGGATTTTGGGATCGCTCCTTCCCAGGCCCAGCCCAGCGAGGCAGAGCCAGCCTGGAAATCCGATCTCCCTTGGCCAGCCCCTCCAGCTGCCCGTGTTCCTTCTCCCTCCAGCTGGAATTTCTGGCACTGACGGACTCGTGGCTGTTTTTCTTGGGTGTAACAACCCTCAGAATTATATTGGCTCTTTTCCTTGCTTTTTCTTTTTTTTCTCCCCCGTTTTTTTAATTGTTCAAACAGAAAAACAAAGCAATCCCAGGAGGGTTCCCCTTCAGGAAGAGTGGTGGGAAGAGCCAGGATTTTTAGGTCTTTTCCAGGAGTTTTTTGGGATGCAGGCACCACCCTTTGGATCTGAGAAGGTCGTGTTCAGGTGTATCCCTGGAAAATCTCCTTTTCCACAGAAAATCCCCTTTTCCATGGAAAAATCCTCTCTCCTGCCCCCACCCCACAGAAATCCAGGTCCTGATCCCTCCTCGGGACGGACACAGCAGGGAAAGATCGGAGCTGGGGATAATCCCTGCTGGAGCTGGGGCTGGAATTCCTCCTGGAGGATTTTTTTCCTCGTAAACTGGAGGAAAATCGTGACTGAGTTTGGAAAAGCCCGGCCCAGGCAGGGCGGGGGCAGCGGTGCCCGGGGAATCCAGGGCTCCCTCCACACGGACAGAGCCAGGCTTAGATCCTGGCGGAGCTTCGGATCCGAGCCCGGCTCAGGCTCGGGATCGATCCCGTGGGATCATCCCCAGGTCCCACAGATCCCGTCTCCAGCACAGGGTCCTTCCTCCATCCCACAGCCAGATCTGGATCCAGGTCCAGGTCCCAGCCGGGGTCCAGGACCAGATGTGGATCCAGGTCCAGGCCCAAGTCCAGATTTCAGACCCAGACCCAAATCCAGGTCCAGTTTCAGGACCAGAGCCAGATCCACAGCTGGATTCAGGTCCAGATCAAGGTTCAAGATCAGGACCAGATCCAGTTCCAGGACCAGGACCAGGTCCAGGATCAGATCCAGGTCCAGGTCCACGCCCAGGTCTATGTCCAGGTCCAGGTCCAGGTCCAGGTCCAGGTCCAGGTCCAGGAGCAGGTCCTGATCCAGGTCCATCTCCAGATCCACGTCCACGTCCAGGTCCAGGTCCAGGTCCAGGTCCAGGTCCAGGAGCAGATCCAGATCCAGGTCCAGGTCCAGGTCCAGGTCCAGGTCCAGGTCCAGGAGCAGGTCCTGATCCAGGTCCATCTCCAGATCCACGTCCACGTCCAGGTCCAGGTCCAGGTCCAGGAGCAGATCCAGATCCAGGTCCAGGTCCAGGTCCAGGTCCAGGTCCAGGAGCAGATCCAGATCCAGGTCCAGGTCCAGGTCCAGGAGCAGATCCAGGTCCAGGTCCAGGAGCAGATCTAGGTCCAGGTCCACGTCCAGGTCCAGGTCCAGGTCCAGGTCCAGGTCCACATCCAGATCCAGGTCCAGGTCTATGTCCAGGAGCAGATCCAGATCCAGGTCCAGGTCCAGGAGCAGGTCCACGTCCAGGTCCACATCCAGGTCCATGTCCATGTCCAGGTCCAGGTCCAGGTCCAGGTCCAGGAGCAGATCCAGATCCAGGTCCAGGTCCAGGTCCAGGTCCTACATGGGTGGAGGTGACCTCCAAGGTTCGGATGTGTCCCCTGTGCAGGAATTCCCAAACTCCAGCCCAATTCCCACCTCCCTGACATCAGGAATGCTCACACCAGGGGGTTCCATCCCTAAATCCTTCTCCAGCAAACATCCAGCCCCTTGGACAACATGGATCCTGGAGACCTGGGCCTCACGGGGGACACATCCCGGTTCCTTGGGATGGATCCTGGTTTTCCTTCCTTGATCTCCAGCTTTGGAGCCCAATTTACCTCCCTCCCAGCCTAAGGATGCTCAGGAATTCCTCAGCACCCAGATAAATCCGTTCTGGATCCCAGGAGAAGAATGGGCCGGACTCTGGGGTTTCCCAGTGTTCCCAGGCACATCGGGATTGCGGAATTCTGCTCATTTTGTGTCCCCATCCTCATTCCAGGGCTTCCCGGGGAGCGGGGACTGCCCGGCCCGCGCGGACTGAAGGGGGACCAGGGAGAGCTCGGCCCGCGCGGCCCCGTGGGAATGCGTGGGTTCAAAGGTACGGACGCGGATCCCGGCGGGAATCCAGCAACAGGTGGGCTCTGGAGATCCCGGGATGAGGGGCAGAGCCCTGGAAGGGAGACCGGGGCGTCCTCTGGCTCGGGAAGCAGCCGGATCTCCTGGAGGAACGGGAATCCCAACAATTCCCGCACCAGCGCCGTTCCATGGATTTGGGATGTCCCCCCATTCCATGGGGCTCCGCGGGAGCCTCCCGGGCTGTGCTCCCACGCCTGGCTCCGGCAGGGATTTGGGAATAACCTCCTGGTGTTTTCTGTTTGCTGCGGTTTCCCACATTCCCGGGAAAGCTGTGGGAGTAGGAAGTCAGGATTTAGCGGGACACGGCTATCCCTGGACACCTGGGACGGGAAATTCCCAGCTACAACCAAAACCAGGAATGAAAACCCCAAAAAATGCCCTTTGGGCCTCAGAATTCCTGCTGGAGAGGCAGGAAGGGAAAACACCCTGGGAAAAGCTGGGAATTGTAGGGAACAGAAAGCTGGAGGGGATTGGGACTGGGATTGGGATTGGGATTGGGATTGGGATTGGGATTGGGATTGGGACTGGAATTGGGATTGGGATTGGGATTGGAATTGGGATTGGGACTGGGATTGGGATTGGGACTGGGACTGGGTGGGAAGGGACCTTAAAGATCCTTGAATTCCACACCCTTCCACATCTTCCACTATCCCTGTTGCTCCAGGAGGTTGGAAAACCCCTGGATACATCCCCGGAGCACCAGGAATGTCGGGATTTTCTCACTGGCTCATGCCGAGAGCTCCTTAAATCCAGAAAATGATCCCAAAAATCCCCGGCTGGTTGGGTTGGGATTCGCCGGCCTGATGCTGGATCTGCTCTCCACGGAATCATGGAATTGTTGAGGTTGGAAAAGCTCTCCAAGTCCAACCATTCCCACCCCGATCCACATCTCCGAGTGCCACATCCCCACGGATTTGGATCCCTCGGGAATGCGGGCTCCGCCCCTGGACTCGATGGTCTCTGAGGGCTTTTCCAACCTCAACAATTCCATGAAAACCCCAAAGCCATTCCTGGATCCCATCCCCATCCCAGGGATCCCTGGTGTCCCACGCGGATGGGGGTCACTCCCCGGGCTCCGATGTGTCCCCCCAAAAATCCACCCCCACCTCCCTCCCCCCGGAGATCGGGAATGTCGGTTCCAGGGGTTCATCCGACCCCTTTTCCAATGAAATTCCAGCCCCTCTGGCAGCGCTCGGGCAGTTTATGGGATTCTCTGGAATTTACGGGAAACAGACCCGGGCCCGGGCCCGGATCCAAAGCCAGGCTTTGCCTTAAACCCCGGATTTCTGCAGGACCCTTCTCCAAGGAATTCCCGCCAAGGGAATTGCATCCCAGGAATCCTGGGATGGGGGTTTTAAGGGTGGAGGAGCCTCCTCATGGAAAATTCCAGGTTTAAAACTCTCCCGGAGCAGCTCCAACCTGGCAGAGGAACGGCAGATTCCCGAGTTCTTTTCCTTGTTGGTATTTTCCCATTTTCGATGGGTTTTTCCTCAAAATGACCCCGGTGGAGGATTTTTCTTCCTCGTTTCCAAATGGGAAAACATTATCCTGGGAAGTGAGGACAGGTCCGCGCTCCCACTTTTCCATGGAAAAGGCCGTGCAGGGAATACACTCAGGAGGAAAGAGCAGGAAAAACCCAAGCTGGGATCGGAATTCAGGGATAAATTTGGGGTGATAAGAGAAGATTCCTTCCGGAAAATCCCCAGGGAGGAGTTTTTTGGGAATGTTCCTGGAGGCAGAGCCTGATTCCACCCGGGATTGGTGGATTCTCCTGGGGCTTTTCCCAAGATTTTGGGATCCATCCCTCCCTGCAGATCCGTGGGAAGAGCTGAGGGTCTCCGTCACTGTCTGCGCCTACATTTGGTGCCCAATCCCAAAAAAAAAAATGGGAAAATGGCCTGGAATGCTTTGATGGTCGCTGGGGGAAGGCAGGATGGAGCGGGAGAGGCTTCTCCCAAATTCCCGGGCTCTGTCCCAGCCCCGAGGCTCCCTCCAGGCTCTCAGGGAATTGGATCCCATTTTTGGGATCTTCTCCAGCCCCGGCGCCTCAGGAGCTGAGTTATTCCCACCAGAAAATTCCTGGGAAGAGAAGAGAGTTGGGCAAGGGGGGAAGGAAGGAGCCAGAGGAGCTGTGGCTGCCCCTGGATCCCCGGGAGTGTCCCAGGAAAGGTTGGAGCACCCTGGGAATAGCGGGAGGTGTCGGGGTTGGAATGGGATGGGATTGAAGGTTCCTTCCCATCCAAACCATTCCGGGATTCCCGGATTGCTGCTGCTCGACGGAAACCGGGACAAGCTGGGGATTTGGGATTTTAGGATGGGAATCCTCTTCCACATTCCATGATCCTAGGGTGATCCAGCCTTTCCTTGGACACTGACAGGCATACAGGGATTTTCTGGGAATTCTGGACTCCAGGAAGGGTCTCCCTTCCCTTTTCCATCCCTGAATCCCATAAAAATCCCTGGGGATGGATCCTGAGTGTCCTTGATCCCAGAATCCCAGAATGGTCTGGGATGGGATCCATGGACCTTCAGTCTCACCCCAGGGACGCTTCCCACATCCCAGAGTGATCCAAATCCACCCTCGGGCACTGCCAGGGATCCAGGGATTCTCTGGGAATTCCAGCCCAGCCGGGAATTCCTTCCCAAGATCCCACCATCCCAAGCTCCCCTTTCCCACTGGAAGCCATTCCCTGGCTCCTGGCCCTCCAGCTCTTTCCCAAATCCCAGCTCTCCTGGAGCCTCTGGAAAAGGCTCCAAGGATTCCCTGGATCCTTCCCTGATCCAGCTGCACATTCCCAGCTCTCCCAGCCTGGCTCCAGGAGATCTCCGTGGCCTCCTCTGGAATTTCTCCTCCCGGAGTCAGGATCCCGGGGCCTCACCTGGGCAGGACCCTCCCCCTTTTCCTGCTGCCCCAGCTCCGGGATCATCCCAGGACAAATCCATTTCCCGGGATCCCTCCACCCCCTCTCCCGTCCCATTTTGGGGACGAACCCACCAAAACCCAGAACTGTCACTTCCCAATCCCGATTTCTGGATGCGAGGAGCCGGGGCTGCATCCCTGGCCCCATTCCCGGCAGTTTCCATCTGGATCCCATCAGCTCCATCCCTTTCCCCATCCCACACAGCCCGCGGGACCAATCCCGCTCTCCCGCAGCCTCCCAGGGAGCAGGCAGGAATTTCCTGCCCGGCTCTGGCTTTTTGGGATCGTTTCACATCCCATGTTTTCCTCTCTCCCGGATTTTCGGGTGTTGTTTGTTGTTCCTGGAGGCCAGAGCATCCCTGAGCTTTTCCTTGGGATCGGGCCAGGCTTGGCCAAGCCAGGATCAGCAAATCCCAGCCTGGGGTCCTGCTCAGGGCCGGGAAAAGCTGGGAATGAGGGAGGAGGAGGCTCCGGGAGAGCCAAGGAATGTCCGAGCTCGTTAGTGAGGTCATTAAGGGGATAGCAAACTATAATTGGGATATGGAATCATTCCCGGGATACCAAACTACGGCTGGGATATGGAATCATTCCCGGGATACCAAACCATGGCTGGGATATGGAATCATTCCCAGATACCAAACCATGGCTGGGATATGGAATCATTCCCGGGATACCAAACCATGGCTGGGATATGGAATCATTCCCGGGATACCAAACCATGGCTGGGATATGGAATCATTCCCGGGATACCAAACCATGGCTGGGATATGGAATCATTCCCGGGATACCAAACCATGGCTGGGATATGGAATCATTCCCGGGATACCAAACCATGGCTGGGATATGGAATCATTCCCAGATACCAAACCATGGCTGGGATATGGAATCATTCCCAGATACCAAACCATGGCTGGGATATGGAATCATTCCCAGATACCAAACCATGGCTGGGATATGGAATCATTCCCAGATACCAAACCACGGCTGGGATATGGAATCATTCCCAGATACCAAACCACGGCTGGGATATGGAATCATTCCCAGATACCAAACCACGGCTGGGATATGGAATCATTCCCAGATACCAAACCACGGCTGGGATATGGAATCATTCCCAGATACCAAACCACGGCTGGGATATGGAATCATTCCCAGATACCAAACCACGGCTGGGATATGGAATCATTCCCAGATACCAAACCACGGCTGGGATATGGAATCATTCCCAGATACCAAACCACGGCTGGGATATGGAATCATTCCCAGATACCAAACCACGGCTGGGATATGGAATCATTCCCAGATACCAAACCATGGCTGGGATATGGAATCATTCCCAGATACCAAACCATGGCTGGGATATGGAATCATTCCCAGATACCAAACCATGGCTGGGATATGGAATCATTCCCAGATACCAAACCATGGCTGGGATATGGAATCATTCCC